TGTTGAAGTACCAAATCTGTCACTTGGGCAATCTGTATGACTTCCTTCAATCAATCTATAATCACATCATATCGGTCTCATAATACTTCATTCGTTTAGGCTAATTCATACTAAATTCAGAATACCCAATCTTCGAGGTTTTATGATAGACTCTCAATCTATCAATTTATATCAAATTGGTGCTTCAGATCCCGCAAAACAGTCTCATTGTTGATTACTTCACCCTATAATAAACAGAACTAATGGCACTGTCCAGCAATTCTTCTTCGGTTTATGCCGAACTACCAAAAGTTTGGCCCAAACATTTAATATACTCACTCAAACCGTAAGATAATAAGAGTTTAACGGATTCCTTTATTCCTTCTAAACCCATGTTTTTCAAACTCTCAGTTCTCAAATTTATAGTCAGGGAATATACAAATTCAATCTTTAAACTAATTTAAGATACTTACCTTGAAATCCATACTTGAAATAGCAAGAGTTCCACTTCTTCTCCATTTAGTTATTTTTCTCTGTTTTAATCGATTTCATGCTCCTTCACAGGAAGAGACTCCAAGAACGTACTCTCTCTTCCTTTTTTTTTCCAAGAGTTGCTGATAAAACTCTTAACTCCAATAATTTCTTTAGCTTAATTTAATGTTTCCCTTATTAGGTTTCTGATGGGCTAAGGCCCATTTGATTTTTTTTGGGCTAATGACTAATATGTCCTTGTTTAAAATATGGGATATTACATTCTCCCCACCTTAATAAATTCGGGGCCGAATTTAAGTCATTTGTAACTCAGAATAGGTGTGGATACTTGACCTTTCATATCCTCTCCCAATTCTCAAGTAGCTTCTTCAATGGTATGTTTTCCCCATACGATTTTCATGGACACAATTTATTTTGACCAAAATTTCTTCGTTGTCTGTCAACAGCGGCCATTGATTCCTCCTCATATGTTAAGTTATCATCCAGTTGTATAGTTGGTGCTTCAAGCACACAAGAGGAGTTTAATATACATTTTCTTAACAGATGTAGAAAACTGAACAACCAAAATGCATCTCAAAAGAAGGTTTCAAAAGGTAGAACACTACTCTCACCTGGTCTAGAAATTTTATATGGTCTTGCAAATTTTGAGCTCAAATTTGCTCTTCTTCTTCTTCTTTTCAAATCACTTCACGCTATTCCTTGATGGACTCTTAGGAAGGTTTTGTCCCCAACTATGTACTCTAAATTTCCTTTCCTCTTTTATGTATAAACCTTTAACCTACTTGAATTGCGAGCAACTTTTGTCTGACTAACTGAACGTTTTCCAAGCTTTCAATACCAAGTCTGGTCCCAATACATTAATGTCTCCAACATCAGACTTTCTAATAGGAGAAAGACGTCACCTATCATAATTCTTCATATGGATCCATCTATTGTGTAGTGTGATTTTTTGTGATAGGCAATTTCAGCCAATGCTAGATAAGCATCTCAACTACCTCCAATTACATTAAGAACGAAAGATTTTAGAATATCCTCTAGAAATGTAGTCAAGGTTTTCTGAAACAAATTTCAAAAATATGTTGTACATTGTGATTTACCGTCCAATATAAACAATAATGGAACTTCATAGAGTCAAAAATTCCATTCAAGCATATCTCTACTATATTCCTCCGTTATATCCCGATTGAGTCGACTTACAACTAACCATACAGAGTCGTAACCTCTAGGAGTTCATGTTAAATGGGTCACAAAATCCATGGTAACACTTTCATATTCACTCTAGAGATCCCGAGTTGTTGTATTGATCTTAAGGGTCGTTGATGCTCAACTTTAACATGTTAACCAGTCAAACAACTAGAAACAAGGATAGCAACATTTTTTTTGTCCTATCAATATAATTCTCTAAGGAAATATTACTTCTTGGTGATCCCGAACCTATAGTGTAGTTAGAGTTATGACTTCCTCAAGAATAACCTGCCTTAAACCATCTATGTTAAATGGGAAACCACATAACAATCAAAAGTCGTATCCTTGTCCTTACCCGCTAGAATCTCATTTCGATATTCACAGAACTTCTCATCCTCGTATTAGTTGGCCTTGATATGTGTTACCAATAAAGACTTGAGCTGAACATAAGCAAATAGTGTCTCTGAGTTTCTCACACTAATTTGATACTTGTATCCCTGAGTATGTGCAAATTCTAGGCTAAAAGTCCTTTCACATGAGCTATTTTCCCTTGTATAAATAGCCACACTTAGGCAATTTTCACCTGCCTCGTCCAGCCTGCCTGTCCTACAAAGAAGCCTGTTGTTATATTATCTGGACTCTCCAAACACTTCCACTGCTTCACCAGCTAAAAGTCATTTCACGTGAACATTATGTTCCATATAACCTATGGATTTCCTTTTCAAAGCATCTATCTAAACAACTTTGTTTCCCAGATGACGTCGAATAGTAAAATTTGACATAGACAGAGTAGTTTTGTCCATCCGTGTAAATTTAAGGATCAAATCTTCTTCTTTTTTTTAAACTTACATCTCAGGTTCTTGCGATTTGTATAATTCGCATTGGTTTCATTGTATAAGAGTGCTTCCGAACTTTAGCGCAAATACCATTGTAACCACCTTCAAATTATGAGAGGGCGGTCCTGCTCATGCTTATCTAGATATCTCGAAGTATAACTGTCACACGATCTTTCTTAATGAGAACACGTCATAATCCCACCCTCGAAACATCACAGAGCATCATGAATCCTCCAAAACTTGACAGGAAGGCTAACACTGTTGTGGTGATCAAACATATATATTCTGAGCTTCTAAAAGCATCTATTCATATTCCTCTGTTTACTGAAACTTCATCTTTTTTTTTTGTAGTTGGTAATTAAGTGGAGTTGTAATTTCTAGAGTAGTGTTATTCCAAAGAAACTATGCACAAAGCCTGTTAAAATCAAGAAGTTGTTATTCTCTGTAAGAGTAGTGGGCTTGTATCATTTCTGAACTACGTTTTCCAACTTAGGTGTCGCCAAAATCCCATCATTAGATACAACATACCCAAGCAATGCTATTGAGTCTAGTCACAATTGTACTTAGCATTTACATAGTGTCGATGCCTCACAGTGTTTGTAACCAATTCCTCCTCATCTTTATGTTTTTCTCGACTATGAGAGTATACAGAAATATCATCTGCAAACACTATTAAACAATCTGTACAGAATGTCTTGAACACCCTATTTATTAAGTCCACGAATGCACATTGAACATTGACCAGTCCGAGAGATATCACAGGGAACTCATAATATTTGCACTCAAAATTGGAGGTGGTCTTAGAAATATCATCTTTCTTTGATTGTAAGTTGATAATAACCCAAACTGGGGATTGATTTTCCGACAAGAGGATGACTCGTTGTAACCAATTATGTATGAAATCTATTCCAGACAACTAGGATTTATTATGTCGTTACTTGTTCAAAAGTATGTAGTCGAAGCACACCAGTGATACTTTCAGTCTGATGAACCTTTATTTAATATGACCTACAATTATTTACTTATCTCTTCTGAACTCCCTCGGTGTCATACGATATAGGGGCATCAAAAGGGTTGCACTCCACACCAAGTCAACAGAAAAATCTATTTATCGTGCTAGTAGGTCTTGGCAAATCCACAAAAATACATCTTTAAATTATGTCACTACCAATACCATTTCTAAATTAGAATAAATATCTCCTCCCTCATGCCCTTTAGTAAATCTTGAACCCTCATCATGGTATAACATCACTACTTTCTAAAGCCTGAGATTTCCTTCTCTCTCTCTTTTTTTTTTTCCAGTTTCAACCTAGCATGAATCCATGGTTGCTCTTTTTATAACTTCACATGTTTTTCAAAATGTGCTTAGCAATGTCAACGACCTCAAAGTAGGTAAAGCATTTGTGTGCGAGGTTACTGCGCAGTCTAAGAGGCTAACCATCCTTTCAAAAAAATCTCCATTAGTTAATAAATAGGGAGCATATCTAGCTAATTGAATAATCCTGAGTCATATCTTAGTTCCAACGAATCATTTTGAACAAATTCCTTAAAATTCCTTATTAAGTTACTCATTCTCAACTGTCTAGACAAAAACAATCCATAATAACTTAGTGAATCGCCTCAAGTCTTTGGTGTTGTCCTACTGGTATTTTGAATAGTACATTATTATACCAAGTAATTAACCACGTTCACCGTCTGTATGCTACCAGAACTATAACACTTGCTGAAACATGCTCGAGCTTATAAAGCTTTAAGTATTTCACCCAAGAATATTTTCCAAGAACCTTTAAGGATCTTTGAGTTGTTAGAAACTTGGAGGTTTTATCTTTAGAAATCTCTAGGCTACTTTTTTTTTTTTGAGACAAATCTGAATCCTTCTAGTTGCCTGGAGCTGCTCTTGGGCTATATTTTGTTGCCTGAATCTATTCGCTCTGTCAATTAATATATCTTGCTCGGTATAGGAAGATACGTGTCCTAACAGTAACACTCTCATGTTGTTAAAGTGCAGAGTAGTACTCTTTTCAGAAAAAAACTATATTACCTATCACATAGGTGCACGAAGAATTCCTCACAATGACATAACCCCCTCTTTCTTGGCTTTTCCAACCATTTGTTTGTTCCCCTTATTGGGAGAGACGGTTGTTTACAAAGGTGACCCTTAATGTCTCCAGACCTTTGGACTATTCTTGTTATTGGACGACTAAGTTCAAGATATGTGATAGGAAGATAAACAATATTAGATTCATCTAGTAGACCCTATTAGTCACACAAAAAGAGGAATGAGAAAGAAAGACAGACACATCGTTTTATGATAGACTCTCAATCTGTCAATTTATATCAAATTGGTGCTTCAGATCCCGCAAAACAGTCTCATTGTTGATTACTTCACCCTATAATAAGCAAAACTAATGTAACTTTGTCACCACCCAAATTAGGTCTGTGACCGGCGCTAAGGGGAAAGAATCCCAAAGCAAGCCTTACCATATATTTACAGAAAATCGGGCAGAGTTTCCTTTATTCCTTCTAAGCCCATGTTTTTCAAACTCTCAGTTCTCAAATTTATAGTCAGGGAATATACAAATTCAATCTTTAAACTAAGTTAAGATACTTACCTTGAAATCCATACTTGAAATAGCAAGAGTTCCACTTCTTCTCCATTTAGTTATTTTTCTCTGCTTTAATCGATTCCATGCTCCTTCACAGGAAGAGACTCTAAGAACGTACTCTTTCTTCCTTCTTTTTTCCAAGAGTTGCTGACAAAACTCTTAACTCCAATAATTTATTTAGCTTAATTTAATTTTTCCCTTATTAGGTTTCTAATGGGCTAAGGCCCATTTGATTTTTTCTTGGCTAATGACTAATATGTCGTTGTTTAAAATATGGGATATTACATTTTAGAAGGTCTAATCAATTATATACAGATGACTTTATCAAATCATAAGCATGCATGATCATAACGAAGTTGCGAAGTTTTGCTATAGAGGTCGGAAAACAGTAACTCACGTTTTTATGTTAGCTTTCGTCCGTACTTAGTCATAATGTAAAATATTTGACCAAAGAATCCCATAGGAGATTTTTCAAAGATTTGGGGTTTTTCTCTGGTAAGGTAAGTGCTTTCCGTTCATTCATTTCTTCCATAATTCGGTTTCCTCCCAGAATTGATAGGTATGTCCATAGGATTTTATGCATAGAAACCTAGGGTTATTATTTTGATGGCACAACATGTGGGGCAGGTTAATTATGAATGATTTTCAATTCTAGTCCGTTAAAGTTTGTCTTCTAGTATAGAATTATGAACCTAGCCTTAATTATGAATTTGGGGAACCTAGAAACCCCATAAAATTGATTCTTTGGGTATATGAACTGCTCAACAGAAGTTAATGAGGTTGAAATAGTGATCTCGTTATTACAAAGAAAGTGTCCGCTATAGTGAAACACTAGCAAATTTTCATACTCGATTTTCCATTTCTAGATTTCTACCAACTCTTGACCCACGGAGATCTACACAAGGGTACTATAGCCCTAAACAACTATAATGACAGAATAGGTCATTACACATCTGCTGAATAATCTTAATTATAGCCAAATAGTTGTTATCTATAAGGCGAGGCTCATGTTAGTGGGCCCTTCTATTATTTTTTTTAAAACATCAGTTTAAATTTTTAAAAAGGGGTCCTTTTAAATTATTATAAAGAGTATGTTTCAGTTCCCTATACTGCAATTAATGGGAAGTCACAGAGTTTCTAAAAGACCAAAAAAAAAAAAGAAGAAGATGAAGAATTATAAGAAGACAAGAGGACTTGAAGGCTTGAAGCACAAAAAAAAACAATCAGATCTGATTCTTCTTCCGCTGGCTGAACAAGCAGCAAGCAAATATAGGTATCTTCTTTCTCTTATTTCTTCTTACTTTTTTACTGATTTCATCAATTGTTGATGCTGAACATTCAATAGTTCATACTCCTTTTTATCTTTGTAGAAAATTTAAAACTAAATGAAAATATGGGACACTTGTCCTTGTTTAATGACTTATGGTGTCTTTAATTTAATAATGATCAATGAAAATTTAACACATGTAATAGGATAAGAACAAAGCTAATTTTCTTAGAAGCCATATAGCCATAGTGGTGGACATGTGGACCCCATATATATGTAGTTGTTGACTTGTTGTATTTCATTATTTGCTGAGTTATAATTGCATGCAAAGTTCTTTATACATTTTTTTTTTGTTTCAGCTTAAAAATAACAAAGAACCTGTGTCCCTTTTTTTTGTTTTTGTTGTGTATTATTATTTATTATTTAGAAATTATAACTGCTATATTATAACTTCTTCTTTTTTCAGAAGTAGAAATGGCAGAGGACTTGTCTAAAGGCAATAGAAGGGATCCTGGTTGGAAATATAACTACTTGAAGGACCCCGATGACACTACAAGAGTCACGTGCAATTTTTGTGGAAAAACAACCACGGGTGGAATTAATTGGGCAAAACAACATTTGATTGGAAATTTTAGGAATGCAGCGAAGTGTAAAAAATGCCCAGAGGAGGTTAGAGAGGAACTGAAAAATTACATGGAGGAGAAAAAAATAAGAAAGGAAGTCTATACTAACGAGTTTCCCGAATTTGATGAGTTTGAATATCAAGACAATGTTGGTGGAGAAGATGAAGTCCAAGAGATCAATCATAAGAAAAGAGGCGGAGGAAGCTTTCCTAGTGGCTCTAATAAGAAACTGGCCAAAGGAAAGGGACCTATGGATATGTTTCTACAAAAGCGTGGAACACTTAGGCAAACAAATATCAAAGACTCGTGTGATAAAGAAGCAAGAGCAATGACGATTCAAAAAGTAGCTCGCTTCTTTTATGATAATGGGATCCCATTCAATGTAGCTCGCTCAAAAAGTTTTAAGGAAGCAATTGAGGCTGTAGGAAGGTATGGTCCAAACTTGAAGCCTCCAAGCTACCATGAATTAAGAGTTCCATTACTTAGGAAGGAAGTTGAGTTGACCAATGAGATTATAAACAGACATAGAGAAGAATGGGTGAAGTATGGAACTTCCATTATGGCAGATGGTTGGACAGATAAAAAACAGAGAACTCTGATAAACTTTTTGGTGAATTCTCCACATGGAACAATGTTCATTGAGTCGATAGATGCTTCCTCACTTGTTAAGACCGGAGAGAAGTTATGTGAATTGCTAGATAGATATGTGGAACGCGTTGGAGAACAGAATGTGGTTCAAATTGTAAGTGATAATGGTAGCAACTTTGTGTTGGCTGGTAAGAATTTATTGCTTTAAAAATCTAAGTTTTATGTTTTACTTTCTAATATCGATCAAAGTTTTGATTTCTAAATTTTAACATATCTATTTACCCTTTTTTTCTATAGGTCAACTGTTACAGAGAAAAAGACCACACATATTTTGGACGCCATGTGCAGCTCATTGTATAGATCTTATGTTAGAAGACATAGGGAAGATTCCTATCATCAAGAAGACCCTCCAAAAAGCAATTGCCCTTGTCAGTTTCATTTATGGACACTCAGGAGTCTTAAATATGATGAGACATTTCACTAAAAATAAAGAGTTGGTGAAATGTGGAATTACTCGATTTGCAACGAGTTTTCTGACTTTGCAACGGTTGCATTGTCAAAAAACAAATCTGCGAGCAATGTTTACATCTGACAAATGGGTGATTAGTAGGTGGGCTAAGTTACCAAGGGGGAAAAGTGCAACACATATTGTCTTGACGGCAACATTCTGGAGTCAGGTTTCTAATATTTTGAAGATAATGGGGCCTCTTGTTAAAGTGTTGCGATTAGCTGATAATGAGAAAAAACCTGCCATGGGGTACATTTATGAAGCCGTGGATAGAGCTAAGGAGGCTATTGCAAAGGCATTTGAAGGGAATGCTGCAAAATATAAAGATATCTTTAAGATTATTGATGAAAGATGGCAATGCCAATTGCATCATCCATTACATGCTGCTGGACATTATTTAAATCCAGAGTTCTTCTTTCAAAATCCAGGTATTGAGAATTGTCAAGAAGTAACAGATGGGTTGTATGCTTGTATTGAAAAATTGGTTCCAAGCACTGAAGTACAAGACAAGATCATATCAGAGATACCATTGTACACAAGATTGAACAACAATTTGGCCTTCCTATTGCAAAAAGAGCTAGAACGAAAAGATCTCCTGGTAAGTGAATACAATAACATTAAAATTATTAATTATTTAGTTTATGTTTAAAAGTTTACTTAATACTTCTTACTTAGGTAATAACTTATACATAATGATGTCTACATAACACTTTTTACAGTTGAATGGAATTTATATGGTAATTCAGCTCCCAATCTCCAAAAATTAGCCATTAGAATTTTGGGTTTAACAGCTAGTTCTGCTGGATGTGAGTGTAACTGGAGTGTGTTTGAGCATGTAAGTACTAAGTGCTCGCATCATATTTATTAATTTTTCTTTGCATAGTTAATCAATTAGACTAATTTACTAACACTAACCAATGCAACAGATCCATACCAAAAAAAGAAACAGATTGGAGCATCAAAGATTGAATGATCTAGTGTTTGTTAAGTATAATCGTGCTTTAAAAGCTCGTTATGACTTGCGGAGTGTCATTGATCCAATCTCGTTGGATAACATTGATCATAGTAATGAATGGTTGGTTGGGAAGATGGGTATTAATATGGAAGCAGAAGATGAATTGGTGTTTGGTGATGACAACTTAACTTGGGGTGATGTTTCAAGAGCGTCGGGCAGTGAGGATGTGTTGGCATACACAAGGCGACAAAAGAGACAGTCGGAAGTTATTACAACTAATGCCTCAAGTTCCCGAGCTCCACGTGTTGACATAGAAGATGAGGTTGATTCAGATGAGTCGGGGGAAGAAGAGATTGAAGGCTATAAATCTAGTGATACTGATACCAATGAGAATCACCCTATTGAGGAAGATGATATGGAAGTAATATTATTCTAGTGATTAGAAAGAAGTAGAATATATAAGCAACATATGTTTTTGATAAACCAATCTTCATTATAAGCACTATATATTTACTATTTTTGTGTCTATTATGTTCTATAGTATATATATATTTTAAAAATCTTCATAGTGCGCTTTTTTTAGTGAAGCCCACGCTTTTAGTGCGCTTTGCGCTTTAAGCTCTATCAGGGCTTTAGCGCTTTTTTGCGCTTTTCGCTTTTGACAACACTGCACCATACCAGACCTGTTTTACTCCTGTGAACTCTACCAAGTTTTGATGTGATGATGGGGGTAAGGTGCGGTGTAGTGTATTAGATGTTTCCTCACTGCCGATTTTTTAAGCTTTTGTTGTTGCCAGAACTATGTAGTCATTCAGGGAGGATATGGGATGGTTATGAAAAGGGGAAAGTAGACGGCAAATCAATTTATAGTCTTGGTTTTATTTCAAAAATTCATGTCCAGACTACTTGCTTGACTAATACCTGCATAACTAATACCCGCATAAGTAATACCTGCATAACTAAACCCTACATAAGTAATACGTGCATAACTAATACCCGCATAACTCTATCCAGCTACCAAACAACTATGGAAAGATCGAAGCAATGAAAGCAGAGTGGTTGCTACTAGTAATGTCTTGTCATTGCAAACAAATAAAGGCAGATGGTCATGTTAGTTTGCCACAACCCATGGCTGCTTCCATATTATCATTACACAATAGAGGACAAGCTTAAAGAAGTTGTAGTAGCTTAAGCTATTAAAGAATCCAATGGTTCATAAAGAACTAATGGGGTGGTGGGTTAAAGAATGTACATTTTGGGAATTTTTGTTCTGGATGGTGATCAAACACCTTCAGCATCACTTCCTGCAACATGAGTATCATGACTAGCCCAGTAATGGCTTCCATCAGGGCCACAAATCTTAAACCTGTTGAGTATAAAAGAAAGTACCTCAGTGAGGACTTATGATATGTTCCTAACTCAATTCTAAAGAAAACTGAAGTAATCAACTGACCGCTCAAGCACTGATTTTCCTTCTTTGTACTTTTGGCTCTTCTCATGGGCGGTCTCCTGAAAAGAATTGCTATATTAGGAACAACTAAAACTTCTAGCAACTGCCAAACGACAATGTCTAGCATTTTATCACTCCATACTCACATATTTCCATCCAACAATTGACCCACAACAGACGCAGAAAATGTCTGCCACAGTGTGCATACCAGTCATCATCATTCTATTTTCTATCTCGCCAGAAGTGACATTCGCCCTGTCAAAAGAAACAAAAAAGGAGTATAGAATATACAGAACTACAAAGAAAAAAAGGCGTATAGAATATACAGAACTACAAAGTGCATTATCATTTTGTATGTTTCTACTAAATGATAAAATGAAATGAAGAGATTTGAGAAGAGCAGAACTCTTGAACAGGAAAGCAATCAAGTTGAGCATAATATATGTATTTCAGCCATGTAACTATTGTAATGCTGCTACCAAGTGGAAAATAACCCAAGTCAAGTAAGAATTTATTCCATATATTGATGTGTTAATATTTGTACTCCTGGAAAATACACTCAAAAGTACACGATATAATAGTCTGGTAAAATCCCCACTAGGTTCTATAGTGATTCCAATAGATCAAATTCTGGTGCTAATTTTATAGTCAATGACACAAATGTATGAAGATATACATATAAAGTACCATGTCTTTAACAAACTAAACCTAAAAGGTATAGCCTACCTTGTTCAACTTTTCATGTGCACTCAAACATTCTAGGTTGGTTATGAGTTATGACCTTCCATAATAATAATGACTCAGAGCTAATAACAAAATCAAAGATCCTGAGGGCAATGTCAATGAAACAAATGTATGAAGATATAAATATACAGTACCATGCCTTTAACAAACTGAACCTACAGGGTATAGCCTGCCTTGTACACAACTTTTCATGTGCTCTCAAATATTCTAGGTTGGTTGTGACCTTCCATAATAATAATGACTCGGAGCTAATAACAAAATCAAAGATCCTGAGGGCAATGTCAATGAAACAAATGTATGAAGATATAAATATACAGTACCATGCCTTTAACAAACTGAACCTACAGGGTATAGCCTGCCTTGTACACAACTTTTCATGTGCTCTCAAATATTCTAGGTTGGTTGTGACCTTCCATAATAATAATGACTCGGAGCTAATAACAAAATCAAAGATCCTGAGGGCAATGTCAATGAAACAAATGTATGAAGATATAAATATACAGTACCATGCCTTTAACAAACTGAACCTACAGGGTATAGCCTGCCTTGTACACAACTTTTCATGTGCTCTCAAATATTCTAGGTTGGTTGTGACCTTCCATAATAATAATGACTCGGAGCTAATAACAAAATCAAAGATCCTGAGAGCTATCTGACCCACATAGAGTAAAAGCCAAATAATTTGCACATACTCCAGTTGCACTCAACTTTTGAAAAACAAATCTTTTTTCATGAAAATCATGAAAATTTTGGCTAACTACTACCAACATGAATTCTTCAATACTTCATCTTTTTTCACTTTTTAGTTTAACAGTGTCCTCCACACCAATAAAAAAAGGGGTGGAAGTCAAATAAGAGGATTTATATGGTAGCTTTTTTCATCTTTCTGTACCAGAGGTATGGATAAGCTTGACCGTAGTAATATCATTGTTCATCTAACCAAGCTACAAATGACTCATGTCCCATCGATGCCAAGAAAAGCTTAACAACAATCAGAGGAAATAAATGGTACTTCATACTCTAACAAGAATAAAACCAACAGAAGTTGTAAGTTGCACTTGTGATTTTCATGCTGCAAGTTTAAAGATTGGACATGTGAAAATGTCACAAACATATCTGATGATTGAATGTGCAGAATCAAAGAGACTTACACTTTACTGAAGAGATAAGCCTTCCCATGTCTGCAGTGGAAAGACTGAAGGAAAGATCAGAAGGAAAACATAGAGTTAGATAACTTCATAACTCAGAATGACTACATACATTATTTAGGGGATGAAACAACATTAAACTTCAATATAATTAATTGCAGAATCAATATTTTACTCCATAAAAAAGCATTTGAATTTTCTAAGAAACATTAGTTTCAAAGCACCAACACTTGAAAATGTGCTCTGATTCTATGCTATAGAAGTCATATTGAATTTTTCATAGGACAGACTGACCTACAAAGTCAACTTATATAATAAAGAAAGTCATGAATGCACATTACAATGAAATTGACCAAAATAAAGTGACTAAACAAGCACCAAATTGATCAAAATATAGAAAATAGAGCACACAGACATGGAACAAATGGAAAATGCCAATCAAGTATACTCCAAGTATCAGACTCAACAAACAACTCCTCTAATTCATAACTGGATTAAGCAGGAATATTGTATGGTATGTTATCAGCAATAATAACTACTATTTTTTAAAAAGTTCACAAAGAATGCTCATACAATCCCTTTTACTCCAAAACCAGCAACTCCACAAAACCCAGCTCTTTGATGCTAAAAAATACATCTCCTTTAGGGCAAAATTACTCAATCTGAGACCTTCTTCACTCACATAGCTGATTTAAAGTAGCCAATTTTTATATACATCTAAAATTACTTAAAAAGACCAACAACAATCCCTAACAAGTTTTATAAACGAAACCGAAACCACCGATCAAGCCAAAGATTGTATTTTTACAACGAAATAAATCTAAATCAAAATTTAAAAAATCTCAATTTCAAGAAATCACAATAACAGAATGATCAAACAGAAATGATGGAGGAAAACCTTGGAAACAATGTTTTCAGAAAGGGCAAGATGAGTTCCACAGTGCTTGCAGCTGTAGATCTTGCCTTCAAGAGTCAACACAAATAATCTCCCCATCAAAGATTTTTGAGATCACAAGAAAATTGAAGAACGAAAATGGAAAAGGACTTATCCAAAAAGGGGTAATAGTTTTTGTTTCGGCTGGAAGATAGTAAGTAACGTCAAGGAAGGGAAAGGATTCAATGTGTGGGGGACTCTTTGAATAATTTAATGTTTTGTTAAAGAACTTTATTCTTGTTTTCTTTCTTTTATAATTACTTTAAGTAATAAAAATGTAGAAAATAATTTTTTCTTCTTACTCTCATTTTATTAATTAAAATAGAATAATTTCATATCTCTTTTAACGGATAATGTATGTCATAATATATGTCATATTTATAAGATTATAGTAAATACACGATTAATTTTTATTTATATAAGGATAAAATAATTATAATAAGATAGGAATTTTCTTGTTTTTTTCCGAATTGAAGTAGGATTAATATCTGTTAATTAAAAAATATTATTAGAAAAAGAATGTGTTAAAAAGAAAATAAATAATATAATTATTTGAAAAGGGTTTTTGACCTATTAAGTAACAATAAAGATATTTTTCGATCAAAGTATTAACTGCAAAACATTTTTAGGCCAAACCATAAATGGAAGATATTTTTGTTCATTTCACATAGTTTAAGGACATTTTTAACCCTTTTTCGTTTGGAAGATATTTTTTAGAGTAAATTTTAGATTTAGCAAACATAAAAAACATATTAGCGCTCTATAGCTACAGTTTTGTTATTTGAGATCCATAGCAAAATGGAGCATCAAATTTGTATAAATCACAGGCGAGCACCTTGTTTGTATGAAACAACAGCAATTGTATATGTATATCGGTTAGATAATTGTATATATGTAACTACTATGTATATGTATTAATGATTGTGTTTGTATATCTGCATAAAATTTGAATTTGTATACAATTGAATCGAAATAAAACATTTGTATATCAAATCTCTCTCTCGTTTTATACAACACAAACTATACATTATAATTTGTATAATTTGTGTTTGTATAAAACAAGAAAGAGAGAAAGGCAAAAAAGAACTGGTAGGGGAAGATCTGCATTTGTATAATTATAAGTGTATAGAACGAAATATATGTATTTGTATATACTATTTTTCTACTCGCTTAGTACTTCCTCAGTGTATTTGGTTCCCTCAAGATCTTCTTGCTGTTGTGAGCAACAAATGATAGGTGTCCTTCTTTTGCCTTATGTCTGGTGATCATATGATGCCCTTGTGGTGCAAGATGTACATCAACTGAAGTAGTTGATTGTAGTGTAGTATCTTTATGTTGATGATGAGTAAGCATATTCCACTTGGAGAAGCCAACTTCTAAATGTATTCTTTGTGAATTAGACACAGAGAAAGTGGGATTTGATAAATCACCATTGACTAGACCTGCATGTTCAACATGTTCCCTACTGCCACTAGCAGATCCTAAATCTGCAATTGGAGCCTTATCAATCTAGGTTTCATTACCTATGTGTGTATCATCACTTTGACCTATTTCTCATGATCATCATTTGATCCTTCAACTGAGGAGTCAATAACACTCTCATCATCAATGAGTATATGGGTTATTGTAGTAGCATTTTCACCAGTAACTTGTGTACTATCAGTTGTACTTACCATGAATTATGATTATCATGTGCTTACAATTTAGAGCAAGATTCAACAAAAGTAGCATAGGTGAGATATCAATGTTAGTCTGAGATTGATTTGGAGACACATAGGGTAATGGGTTTTTATCAAACACATGTCTGGATACATACAACCTCCTTGTAGGGGGATGATAACATTTATATCCTTTGTGTAAGCTGTTGTACCCTATGAATACACAAGGGTAAGTCTTTGGACTGAATTTGTTGCTACCCTTGATATATGAAAAACATCTACACCTAAACACTTTTAGGCTATTGTAATCAGGTTTCTCTCCAAACAACGTAGCAAATGAAGTCATTATTTTTAGGAATGAGGAGGGCAATCTAATAATGAGGAACATTGTAGTGAGGTAAGTCTTAACTCATAGAAACAAAGGTAGGTTAGCATGAAGTAGTAGAGTTAAGACAGACTCCACAATATGCCTATGTTTTCTTTCTGAAACTCCATTTTGTTCAGGTGTGTTAGGACATGAAATATGCCTCACAATGCTACAATCTTCCAAATACTTGATGAAGTCTGTTTTTGATAAACTCACCACCTCCATCACACTGAAATATCTTAATTTCCTTAGAAAATTATTTTTTCACCATCTTCTCGAATTTTACAAAGACTTCAAAATATTCAGATATCATTTTCGATAGATAAATCCATCTATATCTTATGTGATCATCTATGAAACCAACAAAATATTTCATATGTTGAGAAGATTCAACGAGAGCAGGTCCCCACAAGTCATAATGAATTTTCGATAAAGGTTCCTTCTCAATTTAATTTCCCAAACCAAATGAAAGTTTACAACTCTTGCCCAACTGGCAACTAGAACAAACAGTAGATATTTTATTCCAACTACTAACATAGATGTAGTTATTACTACTCAAAACTTTTAAAGATTTCAAATTAGCTTGTCCTAATCTAATATGCCACATGTTGTTTGATGTGTTCCAATCATGTGCAACAGTTTAACAAAGAGACTGTTATCTTCCAAAGCATAGAGTACATATCCCTTGACCAGTAGTGACCTTGTCTTCTTGTCCTTTACAACAAAGTTAGTTTCATCAAATTCAAAAGTGCAACAATTATCCTTTCCAAGTTTACTAATTGATAGTAGATTTTTATTTATCTTAGGAACTACAAGAACTTCTCTTAACTTTAGGCATGATCTTGGTATGTTCTCAACATGTGTTATGTCTAACTTTGATCCATTCCCAATAATGATTTTATCTGGTCCATTATAGTGTTTAAGACCAGTTTGAATACTTGAGTTATATGTCATATGACTACTTGCTCTTGAGTCCACATACAAGGTGTCATTGGTAGTGTTTTGTAGACTAATAGCAGTTAATGCTTGTGGTAGCTTATCTGCAGCTTGGCAAGAGTAGTCCCACATATAGAAACACTTAAGAGTAGTATGGTTATTCCTACCACAAATTTTGCACTAGTCAATATTGTTTCCCTCTTGACTTTCACTTGAAGGACTGTTCTGAGAACCTGGTCCATATCTGTTATAAGAACTTGTTCCTTATCCAGCAGGCTTAAAGCTTTTTCCTCTGAAATTGAAGTTATTATTTTCTCTTCTTTGAGAGTAGTTTCCTCTTCCCCCTGCCCCTTTGGGCAGAGAATGCCACGTTATGATTTTGTTGTGGCACTTCTTTTCCATCCTCCCTCATATCAAAATCCCTGAGAGCATTAACAAATTGATTAAGAGTGAGATATGGTGTCTTACCTAGCATGAAAGTCTTGAAGGTCTTGTACTTGAGACCTAAACTTCTAGCAAAATTAATTACTTTTTTATCTTCATACATAGGCTTGTGAATGGTTGTAAGGCCATCACATATGCCTTTGAATTCCTTAATATATTAATCAATCTTTTTGGTTCCTAACCTAACACTTTGCAGTTGTTGTTTGAGCTGGAACTCCTTATCTTTCGTTGCTTCAAGATAAGATTCTTCCGAGCATTCTCACATCTCCTTGGCAGTTGAGCAACCTACAATCAGGTACATGCTTTCTTTTGTTAAGGAGTCTAAGATCCAACTTTTTAGCAACACATCCTTATTTTCCCAATCATCAATATTGTTGTTGTCTTCTGCATCCTTCTCAACTGCTACAACTTTCTCAATAGTATGTCCAATGGAATAGGTACTTTTAGTTGGTTCATTCTTTGTGATGAGATAGGTTAATCTCATCACTTGAATCAACTGAGACATTTGTGTTCTCCATATAAGATAATTTGTTGGCTTGAGTTTAATGGAACAAGACGCAATAAGATGGTGAAGTGAGGAGGTTGATAGGGTGTTGGTAGAAGAGGCTATTGCAATTTGATATTGTGGTTATTCTACTTTTTGGATCTAACACGTTAAAGAGCAAAATATTTTAATGCTCTGATACCATGTAGAATTCTTACGTAAAGCATAGAGAAATCAAGGATTGTGTTGATAATTAAAATTGTTGAGTACATGCTCCTAATATAGGAGAAAAGCCCTACACTAGCTACACTAGGAGTCCTACTACAATACAAATATATTATTTACATGAATAATATTACTACTATAACTAAAACACCTTATCCTAGTTGACTTTAGCCCCATACACAATACATCAGCTTAGTCATACATAAGTTAGGATTTAGTAGTCTAGTCTTAGTGTGACTTTAACTCTACAGCAGTAAACACGTTAGTCTGCTTCCTTAAACCTATTTCTTTGACATGTTCCAATCATTAACTTCCTTCATCTTCAACATATTACACCAACATTCCCTATTATTGTTCGATTCTATGAGATATACTCCGAGACAATTAAAATTATTTCTTATCTTCTCATTTTTATTATGTAGTATCTCTTTTTCTAATTTAAAAAAAAGTATGGTCATTGACCATTTTTATTAAATAAAAGGAGTTATTATGATATAAACAACTTACAATTTTCTAAAGCATCAAGCATGCACTGAACGGCTAAAGTGAAAATATAAAGTATTTCGAGAAGTCAAACCTTTTATTTTGTGACGATATCAGTTGTGTAAGTCTTTCTTTTTTTTGTATAGACATAATAAAGTTCTTGTTGTGGAACGTTAGTTCAACATATGGTGTGAAAATTTACTCGAAAATATTCAATGATGTCAGAAAAATTGGTCAATTATGAAGTCAGCTCAATGCGCTTTGATCTTCTTATTCTTTTTTTGTTAGGGACAGATATTCTCTTGTTTATAAGCGAATAATCAAAAGGACGAACACGACTAATAAAACTTGTACTTTATGCTGGAGATATAGTGGGACAAACAAGGGTAATTCAATCATCATAAATTTACTTTATTGTAATGTACGTGTCTCTCCAAATGACTGTAGAACTTCCACTGCTTTTCTATTCCCATTCCATCAAAGCAACAAGCAGAAGAGTAATTTCATTTCTCACAATATCATCTAAACCCTTTCTCAACAAGCTCTTCTCTCAACTCTCAAGAATCTGCATCTCAGCCTCTTGCAGCTCCATCTATGTGAAACT